TATCTAATATTATGAAACTATTTTAACTTTAAACTACTATGAGTGTCTTGGAAATATAATGTAAATAAACAAAATGCTATTTAAGATGTATAACACGTCTTTGTTCTGTAATATATGTATCTATATATAAATACAATTTTTGAATTTAAATCTCCAATAATGTATATAGGGTATTCAAACTATTTCTATAACGCTTATTATACGGCAGGTTCAAGGAGGTGGGGCCTAAATATGAGTAATTGGTGTAAAAGGAGTGCGGGCCGAACATATTTTGAGAGCCTCTGACCTAAACATAATTAGAAATATAATAAAATGGCTACCTGGTAATATTAAAAATGAAAAGTAAATCATAAAACTTTTGATGGAGAGTATGTGCTGATATGGTTGAATGCACTTTGACCTTTTGATATTATTTATAGCCCAGCGTGCAGCAGCATCGTCGGCTAGGCGTACAATACTGAGAACTATTCATGCGGCAGTTTCAGTTTCAAATTGAAGACATTACACAGCAGTTTCGCGTTCCTAGCACCGACGGCTAGGACCCGAGGTGTTTGCAGCGTACATCTTTTCCAACTCCCTTCCCATAACTAATGTGAGTATTTTATCTGTGTCATGTAATTTGTGTTCATTCCATCAAGGATAACTTTATTTTAGCTGGTATTTCTTTGTTTACTCAACCATCGATGCCATAACTATGAAATGAAATGCCAAAATAATATATCATCTGTTGGTTTTAATATAAGTAGAACTATGTTTTATATTATATAGATTTTTTACCATAATCAAAATAAACAATACTTAGTTATCACGTAGCAATTGTTACGCATTAGGGCCCCGGTCCTGACTTATCACAAAATAGTTTGACATAGACGTGGTCAGTCCGGGCCGTCCCATCTATGACTTAATTTTTTTGGTTTCTTGGTGTTAAGACAGATAAAAGCAAAACTCTGACGGGAATTAATTCAGATAACAAATCCTTGTGTTCAGATGAAAATTTAGTATGTTTTTTATTAAAAATATAAACAATTCGTCTATAGTTCTCACTAGCTCGATCACTAACATTTGGCTATCTTTTTGTTTCTATTTAAGAATAGTTCACGTATCCTACTGCAAATTAATCGTCTTAACTCAAGTGTCTCAACTCGGCTCAGTGGCGTAGCTAGGGTCGGTGTCACCCGTGCGTTCCTCCCCGCCCCCCCCCCCTCAAAAAAAAAACAACAACAAAAAAAACAAACAAAACACCCCCTAGCTACGCCACTGAGACTCGGCTAAACTCTTTACGACTGCATGGTTTAACTCGGTCAACTCGTATCCTCTCAACTGATTTCCCATGTACTCAGCCATCTTCCTGTTATTTCGTTTTCTAACTCTCGGTTGGTCCTGGTGTACGCAGACCTATAGACCTAGTCCTGATCCCCCCCCCCCCCACCCTCGCTAGTTCTACCAATTAAGAACTTCTATCATTAACGCCAAACTGTGCATACATTTAGTTGGAACGCGCGTGAATATCCCAATATTCATAAAAATACATTTTTAAAAGAATGTCCTCTATCCCAAGAAGCGTAAACCTATGAACTTTGACCTACTTGCCTATCTGTTCCCAAAATAACAGCGATTACCGGCTGACCTATACGTTACCTGAAAAAACAATGGAGTACTTTCCTACACACACTGCTCTGTCATAGGTGAAATTAGGGCACAACGAGAAAGGGGGCCCCACATATATATACTGAAACCAGCAGAGCTTTTTAACACCAGAGCTATCCTAAGAGCTGATGATCGATTAATGCTTCTGTGACTGGAAACAATAAACAGCACTTGCCGAAATAAATATATAACTAGGCAACCCTCAGCGTAGAATATGCTGCGAACTTGTTGGGATGTGCGCATGGCTGGATAGAGCCCGTCAAACATTGGCAACATCAATACGTGAACTTCCCATCTACTAGAGTTACTTGACAAAAACGTGAACTCAAGTTGCGCACATTTAAGAATGCCAATTTTGCTGCACCCCTCCCCACCCCCCTTTTTCATGATACGTCATTGCACAATTTTATTTAACGCACAGCATACGCCGCGAGCTTGGCTTTCAAGCTAGGGTTTTGCAAGAGGGGGGGGGGGGCGGTAGCTCCACAGCAGTGCACATGTCTCGAGACCAACGATGGGCAGGCAATGCAAGGTAGGGGAGTGTTTGCCTGCGTCTTGCTTGCTCTGGCGTATCTATATATAGCCCCCGTCTTGTTTGAACCGTCTGTTTGTTTGACCTTTGCTGGTGAATTATTTATATATATATATATATATATATATATATATATATATTTACAGGCAGGCAGGCAGACAGGCAGACAGATAATGCGAAATCAATTAAAAAACAAAAAAATTAATCTTTTTAAACTAAATAAAATTATAGCCCTATAACAAAGCAAAATAACACGAATTCAAATCAGTGGTGTGGAGAAACGATATTATCAAAACAGAAACAAGATAAGACTATGGTGTCCACATCTGCAAAGCTGGCTCATTTCTTCATTCGGGTTTCACATGTTACGCCGATGCTGATGCAAACACAAACTTCGTCTTTAACAGAAACGGACACTGACACATTGATCCAACTGAAATCACCCGTGTCACAAACACAGGCTTATTCATCAAATAAATGTCTGACTTGAGATCTCATGTTAGTTTTCACATCTTGAAAACGTCGACTTTATATGTTAATACATAATAAATTAAAGACTGCGTTCAAGCTGTGTGAATGAAATAGTAGAACGATGGATGTGGATGCTTGAATCAAAGTACAGGACAATAAGATGTGAACGTTTTTGGCTTTCTTTACCAGATAGGACAAATGTAAATACGGCAAAAAAAGATAGCACAGTAAAAAAATACTTAAAAGATCTCCTTTGGTGTGGCGCAAGTAGCTTGGCTCTAAGCCGAGACGTTCATTAAGGGGATCATGTGGACTTCACGAAATCATTTCGAAAAAAATGTGAAGGGGCTATTAGAGTTTTGCTACCAAATGTGGACTAATAGTAAACTCGAAAATTTATCTAAGAGGTAATGCCCAATGATGGTAATTGACCCCCATTACACTTAAATGAAATAGACAAATTTCGCATAAATCATTTTATGCGATCATCGCTACACTGCAATTTTGAGATGAGAATAAGAAAAGATGTATCTTAAGTATTAACAGAGAGATTGCCCATACTGAAATATTACATTCTTTTTATGGGATCGATCTATTGCTCTTTTATGGCCCCGGGCAGCCCTGTACGGGCGTGCCGCTTATTCTTGGCTGTGCCGTACAACAGGCTTTCAACGTGGGTGACAGGGGGATTCCCTGCCTTCCACTCCTAAGTAATCCTCTAGTTAGTGCACCACTGACGACGGCGCCTGTCCGAAGTGACGGCAGCTCGGGGCCTTAGCGGAAGCTGTCTGTTGAAATATTTTTGAGAAGGACAACTGTTTTGTTCTAATCCTTGCCATTAAAAAATGAAGGAGAAACCCAGTTTTAAATAAATAATGTAACAAATTGAAATATTCCTTTTGATCTTCAATGAAATTTCTTTTTAACTCATTAATTGTTTTTGTATCATGTCCTATATATGTATCTAAGATCAGGTACTTAACTGCACATCAATCGGATAAGAATGTGGTCACCTACATTTTATTGCTGAGGATGGCGAATTATTTAATATGAAAACTATTGACTTAGAAATTATCGCAAAGGATCTACCATTATTATCCCGATTACATCGGGTCATTTATTCTAGTTAACTAAATATTTACATAAAATGTATTTCTTTTCCAGTAAAATTACTTGTTTATTTAACTAAATCAATGTTTGAATTTTTTTCCAAGTTCTCATAACAATAACTTTACATTGCATCGAAACATTAACCTTCATTCGTTTTCTGTCTTCTTTTATTCACTTTAGTGGTAATCAAAGCATCACCATGACTACAGTAAACACTGATATCGCTCTCGGGGTGATGAAATCGATTAAAAAACTCCATTCGCGACATGAACTTGAAGGAGATTTTGTCGTTGAAATAGATAATACAGAAATCAAGTGTCATCGCTTCATTCTTGCGTCATGCTCTGGATTTTTCAGTGGACTTTTCAGAAGTATGAAGGAAATGACGAATGGCCGCGCTTCATTGCAGGGTATTTCTTGTGAAACATTTAAGCTAATCCTAGAGACCCTGTACACTGGCCATGACGTCATAACTGAAGATAATGCCATTGCCATCTGGCATGCCTCAAATCAGTTACAGATTGACTTCATGATTGCGTTAAGTGAAAAGATGATAGTCAAGATGTTGTTATTAGACAATTTTGAAGAAATCTACAGAAACGCAAAGCTCATAAATTCTGGGCAAGTGTTAGAGGCCATCAAAACATTTATGTTGGAACATTTCGTACAAATAAGAAAGATGAACACATTTCTTGAACTTTCATATGATGAATTTTTGGCATTGATAATTGATCACACGCTTGTGGTAGAATCCGAAGATCAAGTCTTGGAATCGATTATCGAATGGATAGAATACATTGACATTGAGACGTTAGAAGATCAGCATACAACTGATAAAAGGAAATTTATTGAAGATATTCGAGAAAGTAGTAAGGTTATTGCTCTGAGCGCTCTTGACAAAAAATCATCCGTCTACAGGGAATTAACTGTCAGATCTGGTGTCAGCATTGACCCGTGTACGAGTGAAATGGATACCACGAGTTTAGATAATGACGACAAGGTTGATGACAAAGGCCTGTGTCCTCCGTATCCTTTTAAAGCCGAAGATGACATATTTAAGGAGGTATCACCAGAACAATGCTACGTTAAAAAAGAAAGCCCCGTGGCTCAAATGTTGGATACCACTGTGCACGATTACCCCATTGAAAAGGTAAATAATAACAAGCGAAAAACTGTTGATGAGGAGCGACAGTCCAAGTTGGTGCAACTTTTAACCGCTGCAAGAACCCTACTTGCCAGTGTATCATGCCTAGCGAGACTCCACAAACATCATTTGATTAAAGAGAACCGCAAAGCTAAAGATATCATTTTTAATGCAATTCTGTATCAAACTAAGAAATATAGAAATGGGACATGGTCCAACGCTGACATTCACAGAGATTGTAGTGAACTCGGAAATTTTGGGATTTACTGTTATGGCTATGGGAAATTCGGGGCTTACTCGATAACTGATAAGAAATTTGAATTAACAGGTTGCCCTGGCTGTGTTCTGTCCGTTCGTTTGGTCGTTTTTGACAATGAATTGTATGCATGTGGACGTACTTCTATACACGATGCAAACAGCACGCTGTTTCGACTCAGAGGAAATGTGTGGGGAAAAGTCATGGAGTTAACGGGGTCTCAGTTATTTCTTCTTTCATACGAGAATGCAATCTTAGAGTTTAATATCGAGAGCAAAAAAATTTCTTCAATTCATCCAAAAGGAGGAACTAAATTTCAAGAACATTTTACGACTCTTCCTGAGAATGGGACTTTTGAATATGCCCTGTTTTATGACAATATATTGCTTGTGTTTTGTTCAGAAGCTGTTAACAGTGTTGAAGAAACAGCTGTTCATTGTTTGGATTTAACCACTAAGATCTGGACAAGACTTGCCCATCTTGACGGGCCAGCCAAACATTTGATCAGTTTTCAAGATGGTGAGAACAACTACATCATACAAAGAAATGGGAATGTGTGGAGATTCGTAGATGCCCAAGATAAACTCGTGTCATTTCATTTTATTGGAAAACTATGGACAGCCGATAGAATTTTATATGGCGCTGTGCTCTTCAAAAATCAGCTAACGTTACTCGGAGACAACCCAAAAGACTATCCTAATGATGCAATATTTGTTCTAAATGACTTCCCATATTCAATAAAACTTCGTGGTCTAAGCGGGACTTGCTCTAATTTCCTCCCTGTGATTTTAGTCAAGCGTGGTCTCACTCCCGTAAAGGAATAGACACGGGTGAAGAAATCGGTTAAGAGTCAATCCGTTTTAAAGATGTTGCGATCAAAAACATCATACTCGACAATTGGAATGATCAGATAGTTGTCTAGAGCAAAGACGAACTTGTATTATATACATATTTTAAAAAAGTAATTGTTATTGATATCAAATCTATATATATATAATTCACAAGCAAAGGTCAAACACCACCACCACTACGCAGAGTATATATAGAAAATGAGTTCACTAGCGCGCAAAATATAATTCCCGATAAGTACGCTCAATTATTTATATTTGTTTAATAACGCAACTTCGTGTGATGCGTAATATTTTTCGATAAATGAAATCGCCTAAATTTGAGTATGGTGTAAAGAAAAATTAAGTTTAAAAGTGGTTTGGACATGAGAATTTTAATATAGTTCATTGGCGTGAAAAAATAAAGTGTGCAGTGACGTATCATGGGGGGAAGGGGGGGGGGGTTTGAGCAAAAATTGGAATTCATAAATGCGCGTTACTTGACTTCATGTTTTGTCAAGTAATTTTAGTAGATGGGAAGTTCACGCATTGCTGTCGCCAATGTTTTGCGGGCTATAACTGGTTGTGTAATATTCTGTGTGCTTCAGAGCTGCTATAACTTTTTGGAGACATGATCCTAAAACAATTTTAAGAAAATGATCCCAAAACTTTATTTGGAGATGTTTCTAAATCTTTATTAAAACCTTTTTTTTTTAAAGTTACATTCCTTAAAATAGAAACATTATTTTGCACGCACTACTATACAATGTCTCGTGTATGTTGTAAAATATAGCAAACATCTCGCTTTCTTTTGCTAAGATATGATGTCCGGCTTTGTCTTGCTATGTTTCAAAATTTAAAATGTCTCTGTCCCGAATAATCCTGCCAGCTTACATATATATATATATATACATATATATGGATCAACTCAAAACTTTCAAGTAAAGCCATATAAGAAATTGCGTCACCTACTGCCATTCTTAAGAGACTAGTGACAAACCGGCATACGTTGCAATGCCACCCTTAGAAAGAAAGTGTTTGTGTTTTAATAATGTTTTTTGAAGTACTTTTTATATTGACAATATTTTTTTCTATTTTTCTGTATACGAATAAATTAGAAGGTCTTTTGATCCACGAGCAGGCCACATGCAGCTGTCCATCTACCTACCTACCTACCTACCTACCTACCTACCTACCTACCTACCTACCAATCCTATCTATTCATCTATCCATCTATCCATCTATCCGTCTATCCGTCTATCCATCTATCCGTCTATCTATCTGTATATCTATCTGTATATCTATCTGTCTGTCTGTCTGTCTGTCTGTCTGTCTGTCTGTCTGTCTGTCTGTCTGTCTGTCTGTCTGTCTGTCTATCTATCTAACTATCTATCTGTCTAACTATCTCTCTAAGAAAATCTTAACCAATCTTTATTTTGAAAAGTACATTTTCACTCTGGTAAAATGATTGGGTTTTGAAATTTATTGGCATAATTATGTAAATGTACTTAAGTTTTGATAACGTCGTTGATTTTCTTAATTGGTCAACATGTGTTAATTTGTAAGATGAGAATATAGCATTTATTTTTCACAACTGTAATATCATTGAAATTCAAGATAATATCTTACACGTAAAAATGTACATCCTATTTCCTACCCTCGATATATATGGACCTTAAAACGTTAATTATTTATCAAATTCATTCCGAGGCGTATCTTGTGCGGCCTGGGGCAAAATGAAAGTATTTTGATAACCCTCTTACTTTTGCAAAAGTACCTTTTTTTTTTTTTGCATTTCATATGCTTTGTGATCATTTAGGTGAGTGATTAGTGCATTACTGAATGATATTTGGCGATGTAGTTTCGCTGTGCTGTTTGAATTAAACGGTATTTTTTTAAATTAAAATTATATTCAAGTTTTTACTACTTTATATATTTCATAGCAATATATTTTTGGAATGAATTAAAAATAAAAACTTTTTACATGTTAAAGACACAAAGCTAAATTTGTTTTAATTTTAATAATTTAATATTAGAAAAACGTGGCAATTTAAAAAGGAATCAATATTAATATTGATTTATTTTACTATTAAGAAGTGGAAAATACATTATCAATTCTGGTTCTGGTAGGGTACGTTGCTGCAGCCATATACTGGCATATGTGCAATGGTTGTTGAAGCGATGCGGCTATCCTAACGGCACATAGCGGATGCCAGGGCAGCCTTGAAACTCTAAATTGATGTCGAGTCTACGGTGGCATTGTCCACTTGGTTCCAAGCCATTATTGTTCGTGGGAAGAATAATTGTTTAAATTGGACGGTGTTACAATGAGGCACAGTGAAGCATTTTCTATTGTTCCAGATAGAACGGCTCATGGAGTTGTGAGAGGTGAAGTCAGTGTTTATTGAGCGTTTGTCTTTGATTAGTGACTTGGCTTCTGTGGGGTGAGATACGTGTTAGCTGGGATGTTCGGAAGTAGCCCTGTGACCACTTTATATAAGAATGTTAAGTCTTTGATCATAGTGTTTTTTTCCATAACATTCAAACACATATAAAATACTTAAAATAGTTACTCAGTTGATACTATAAATGTATTTGTAATCTATAATAATAATACTTAAACATTTACTAAAATAAAATCTGAAGTAATATTTTTTGCGCATTAAAATTTTTTCGTTTTCCGTAAAATAATAGAAAATAACTATGATTGTTTTTAAGAATCCGAAAGAATAGAAATCGTATCAGTTCTTTAGCGGTACGGTCAGAGTAGCGCATTCTTAAATATATATAATTGAACTAATTCGAGCGTAATTAACCTTTTCCCCAACCAAGGTAGGGTGGGTATGGGATGACACAGCACATGCACTCGGTGACGTCAATATCAACGCCAAATGACAGTTTAGGTGGCGACTAAAAATAGCATTACATGTGTGTTTCACTAGTCTGTACAGTGTCAGATGCATAAATATATATATAACAGCAATGTCATTGGTTAACCAGAAATAACACATTGCCCGAGAGTATTTATACATTGAATTTCCCGAAAACTCAGAAGTGTCGAAGGGAATCTTATCACTTTGACTGTCCAAAAAGCATCCATTTCAAGGGGGATTAACCGATGATTACTCAGAATAGGATACTTTCGTGACATTAGCTGCGAGCCATCAAATTCCATTACATCTTACTCAGTTACTTGGTATTTATGTGTATCATAATAGAGCTGTCAGATGCAAACTCATTTTTGACAAACATTCGGACAATCTTATGGGAGGCTGTAAGATGCGCTTTGTGGTGGAGAAAATGCTATATTTTTAACGATTAAAGAAATTGAATACGTCCTTCAAACACATGGAATGTCATTGGCAGATTTTGACTTTGAATTTTCAGACGGAACAATGATAATCGGATCTATCGTGGGAGCGATCCAAAAGCCGACAAAACCATATCCAAAAAGGCGTTTAAAATGCGCGCATTCGGACCGAACATGCTTTCGACACAATCTGGAAATTAATTGAACAACCTAAAGGTCCATCCTTTATTGGTGGGCAAATTGGAAGTGGTAACATTGTCCGTGCAATACAAACATTCACTATGTGCGTGGGAAAAAAAATGAATTACTCTTGCCAGTTGCATTTACAGGTTATCAGCATCGCTTCTTCAGGTAAGCGGGACGTCCCCACAATCGTTTGAATCCACCTGTTACAATAAATTGAACATAAACATGTAAATTTCGACATGGGGCTTATAAGGCAAATGAACTAAAACAGACCAAAATAATAATCTGGAATGGATCTTTAATGGGCCCAGCTTATGGAGTTAATGCATTTGACACACTGTAGGAAGAACTCTTAGATCAAGATCCAAAACTTTCTTCATGTTGCTCCAAGTGGCAGCAGAACCAAAATACGTTATTTATGCATGAAGAATTTTAAGTTTGGGGAAAACACTCAGGTGCTTAAGTTAGACCAAAACCTGCGTTCCATGCCACACCGAGGATTTCTCATTTGGCTTTTAAAACATGGGAATGGAAAGTCAAAGAGCCTGAAGGAAGGCATCATTCCCACATTATGCATTGAAAATGCAATTATTGATAATTGTGTCTTTTCTAAAGTCATCCAATCAAAGGATGACAGCAATGCTAACCCTGGAATCTTGACTCCAAAAAAACATAAATCACTTGAACTTTATGAACATATCCTTAGACGAATACAATTTAATTTAAATTCCATTCCAGCATAGATTATAGTAAAAAGAAATTACAAACGCTGAGGAAGCAGAAAACTATCCAGTGAATTTTTGAACACCATAACATATTAAGATATGCCTCCTCATCTTTGTTCCCTTTAAGCTGCGCGGCTGCGCGGCTGTGCAGCTTTCTTCAAGACGCCGCAAAACAGTTATGAGTATCCACGAGGCTAATTTTTTTAAAAATAAATTCCAGCAGATAACATGTACTCTATAGTCGGAATCGTAAATTTCTTTATAACATATACATCCTTGTGTAAATTTAATTCTAATCTATATTTTAGTCTCCTACTTTTAACGTAAAACTATAAATTTACATGCTTACCGATAAATACCCGATCAAGCTAGTCTCGTTCTGAATCACCACCGCTATTATTGTAACTTTGTGGCACATACAGCGAAATAAATGTGCATAAAGTAAATAAATTGCATAACTCTAGATTTTTATAAATGTACTAGCTAATTGTTTTTAATAATGTTTTAATATTTATTTAGCGCCCCAATATACATTTTTAGCGTCGTTTCATAGAGAATTCATATCTCGACATAATGAAATTAATTTTTAAATTAATGAGATGCAAAGTATTTCGTAAATTATTTATTTAGAGTGATTTAACTTCTGTTTGGGATAATATTTATTTTCACGTTCAATGCAATAGTGATTTAATAGTTAAAATGAACCCAGACAAATCAACCAAGGTGGAAGAGGATCACAAGCTTTTAAAGGACTTCAGGTGGAGTATTGTCGGTTGTGCGTAATCCATGTTGGTAATAGTAGCTCAATCGCAGTAGCTGTACAGGTGTGACATATCGGGTAATCAACATGAGGTA